GGTTTACACACCCCAGAACCGAACATTTTGACTTATGAACTTGCATTTTCAGCATGAAGCTATGAACTACAAAATCACACAGCGAGGAAAAAACATGGCGAACTATGAAATCCAGTTGACCGGAAATACATTACCATAAATGGTAGTTCCGAAGAAAATAGTTTGACGAAATAAGCAATGAAACATAATAAGCAACAGCAGATTTTGAACTGAAAAAATTGACCCCTAAAATAAAATAAAAATATCTTTGCAGTAAATGGACAGAATAAATTAAAGTTTTCTACACTCCTAGACACTATAATTGCACAAAAAATAGTTTATAAATGCAAAAAAAGTGCATTTAGCATGATATGTCTCCTTTAAAGCTTGGACACAGTTTGTTCTTTAAATGGACAATGACCGTTAGCATACAGCCAATTTAGCTACAGTGAAGCTTCAGAACAATAAAGTCAAARGTTTTGAAATGACCATCACAAAGTCCTGATCTCAATCTCAGAACATTTATAGGCAGAGCTGAAAAGGTGTGAAATGGTAGCTTCCAAATCTGACTCAATTCCATCAATTATGTAAGGAGGGACGGTACAAATATTCAGCAAACTATTGCAAGAAGTTTGGAAATGAAATCAGACAAGTTCCGGAGATGTCCATCTGAGAAGTTATAAAGTTATAAAAATATTTTAGAAAGCTGTTTACTTTACAGAGATGGTATTTGGGTAAATGTGTCTACTAGGTGGAGTTAAATGCAACCTCCTGAAGAGAACTGAGCCTGAGGCCCTCACAAGACCAGTCTCTGGAAATGTTAATGTTTACTGGGGCAAATACACACAAAAAAATCACCCATTTACATGAAACCACTGCAGTAATGTACGATCTCACTCATGCACTGATAATGTAGCAGCTGAATGATCACAGTTACATCCGAACCTAGTGAATAAACTAATGTTCCTTTTGATGCTTTTTAGTGTTTTACTCCTACAAGCTGCAAAGTGTGAGTTACACACACACAAAAAAAATAACAAATAAAAAAACATTCTGCTGTCTATTGTAATTGTTGTTAGTTAATAAAGTTTTGATATAGGTGACTGTGTGCCGGATGTGTGCAAGCAGCTAGATCACAACAAAAATGTTGCGGTTTCACTGAAAACCAACTCCGTGTAAACGGGGCCTGAGAGGAGAGAGGTAAAACCATTCTGTGTTCCTAAAGTGGTAAAAAATGTTAATCTACATTCAAATCCATCAACAAAAGCTTTAGGTTAAAACTTAAAAAGTTCCTTTTAAAAGTTAACGTTAGAACTTTTAAAACTCAAAGTTTCAGGTAACAAAACAGAATGATTTTTTTAACGGCTTGTATGAGTCCAAACCTTTGGCTTGGCGGCATTTATCACACATCTGGTTACAGCCATCGTCATCCCAAACCTCATCAAAGTGAACAGCCATGAGCGAGCGCCTACACCTTCAAACAGGAGAGTCAGGTCAGGTGAGATTCAGGTTGAACTCTGGAAATCATCACCTGGCAAATCTGGGTCTTACCTGTCAATGTTCTGACAGTAGTCTACCATCTGCATCAGCTTCTGCTGACCGGTGTTCTCCATCACCACCATGGTGCTTATCCGAAAGATGTCTGCAAAGCCGAAATAGACGATGCAGTCTGCTGGGAGGTCATCTCGACCTGCAGAGAAAACACTACTGCTGCAAAATATGTATTTAACACAAACAGCTAATATCTGTTCAGACATTTAGACAGGTATGATCCACTCAGATAGATGGAAGTATTTCAAAAAGGTGTGCTCTTCTCTGACATGTAAGGTGAAGTGTATACCTGCTCGCCCACTCTCCTGGTAGTAGTTTTCAATGGACTTGCTTATGCTGTGATGGATAACAAATCTGACATCCAGTTTGTTAATGCCCATACCAAATGCCACTGTTGCTACCACCACCTAAAAACAAAACAGAAGGGAAATTGTTGAATAATGACAACTGAATTCACGTCTGTGACAGAGACACCAGTGAAGTCTCTGCTACCTGGAAGTGTTAAATTGTGTGTCAAGTGGATCTACTGTAAACCTCTCATGACTCCTGGAAGTTTTATTGAAACAGAATTCCTCTTTCACATAATAACCTCTTGCACCTCCTCCAACCCCACTCAGCATCCCCCTGAAAGTTTCAACTTCTCAAAGAGTTTGCATCACACAGAATCTGTGTTCAGAGCCGTTTGTTTTTTGTGGCTTTAATACTTTAAAAAATATTTAACTGTCTTAACAAATATTCTCTGCAGAAATACATCAGATGTTCTTTAGTTCTTCACAAACAATGTTCTTTTTCTAAATCTGTTTCAGTTTTGTTTTTGTCTTCATATGCTACATTAAGATTTTTGTTACTGTTCTGCTGTATTTTTTTTTTTTTAGCTTTAAGCAAGCCTTTCCAAACTTTTAGGTAGCCCTTTAAAACTTTTGGTTGTTAGCTTGTTGTTAATCTTTCACTACTTTTAGCTAACCTTTGTTTTTTTATCTAACATTTTCTTCCTTTAGATTTTAGCTACCAATTTAAGCTATTAGCTAGACTTTTGTCAACTTTAGCTTTTAAATTGCCATTTGCTGTTTTTAATCTTTAGCTGACATTTTGGTAGTTTTAACTGAAGTTTTGGTACTTTTTAGCTAGAGTTTGCTTCCTTTAGCTTTTAGCTAATGTTCTGCTTCTTTTAGCTTTAACATTTTAGTTTCAATTTCTTCAGCTAGTAAGAAATGTGTTACAATGAAATGGTGAAAAGCAGAACCTCCCACTTGATGAATGGATTAACTGTATCAGATTTATATTACAGAAAAGATTTATTTTCCCCCCCAAGTAGAAAAAGGAAAAATTTATAAGATCTGGACCAAATGGACCGAGTATGTAAAACCATTTAGAGCTGATGTAATTTGCCTTTTTTTTATTGTTAGAGGTGATTCTTTGTGTTCTTTGAACCTGCCTGTGCCCTGGGTCCATCTTTGCTTAAACCATCACAGTTATGTTCAATTCTGTTATTGTGCGCAATTAAAATAAGTGGTGGTCTGCAAAAGAAAATCCCAGAAATGCAGAAATAACTTGGACTTTCTGCTTCCATCCTTATCTATGACCTTGAATATTCTAAAGCTGTCATTAATGGATGAGATGGAACTATGTCTTTCTAAAACAATACTTATAAGAAAGATATGACCAGTAAATGAATGGAAGTCAATGCAAAGTCCCTATGCCACTACCTGGATTTTGTTAGACAGCCATTTGCGGTGGACTTTGGTCTTGCTCTCAGGTTCCATGTTAGCGTGGTATGGATATGCCAAGATGTCTCTTTTCTGGAGTTCAGATGCAACCAGCTCAGCATCCTTCTGAGAGAAAACATATACAATCCCTGTGGAGAACATAAAGACTGTTTAAAAGTGCAAAATGACTCATCAGTTTGAATAATCTGTCACATTACCTGACTGCTCCTTGTATCGACTTTTGATCAGTGATACAATGTCATTTATGGATGCATCACGATCAGAGTTTTTAATACGAACCTGGAGAAAAACAAATATCATAAGTGAATGTTACTCATAAGATGGAGATGGACATGCATGCTGATTATGCCTGAACAAGCAATAAACCTTGATATTTCACTCTGTCAATATAGAACTTGTTAATCACTCAAAGAAAATTCTGATGTTTATTGATGGTTAAATTGTGATTTAAAATATTATGGTTAATTCAATTACAAAATATATTAATGTTTGATCTGTGTTTTGTTTTTACATGACCGCTTTATTTCTTGTATTCAGTTATGCTGTTAGAGTGAAGACACATGATCTTTGACTTCCCAAACTGCTAACTTAGATTAWAGAGTGGCCACCTGGGCTCAAATTTTACTGTACACCTTAGACATTTACTCATAACCTCATAACATTTACATATAGGAACTTGGGAGTGGGCACTTGTGCATGTAAGGGGCGGGATGGGACAGTCTCGCCACTGATGCCTGTGCCCACTCACATTGTTTGCTTTTAGACATTTAGGGTTAGGGTTAGAGTTGGGGTGGAGGGGAAACTGGCATAGTGCTGGCCTCTGTCCTGTCTTCTTCCCCGTTTTAATTGCATTATAGAATATCACACATCAACAGTACATCTGAGGGTGGCGGTGTGTGTGTCGGGGTCTTTTTCACTCCCCCGTTCCCCATTGGCCGTCTGGGGATGGGGTCCTGGGGGGTGGGGGCTGACCGTCTGGTGGGGCCTGGGCTGCGGGTGGACATGGGGCTTGGAGGGGCTCYGGAGGYGGGGCTGGCGYTCYGGCTTCCCTGGGSCTGWTCGGGCTCCCGGAGTCTGGCTCCTGGTTGCTGTGGTTGGCCCGCTGGCTGGGGTGGCTGCCGAAGTCTGGGGGGTGGTCAGTTCGGGGTGGGCACCTGGCCGTTGGTAGGGTGTGGGGTGGTCCGGGGCATGGCTTTGCTGGGGCGGGGGTGCTGGTCGGTCGGACTGGTGCGGCCCGGGCTGGGACTTGGCTGTCTGCTCTTCTCCACCCCAGATTGAAGGGGTCTGCCTCTTGGGTTCAGGTGTGAGCTGCCCTCTGCAGGGGGTGGGTGCATATCCTGGACCTGGTGGGTATAGAGTATGTATGGGGAGGGAGTGGATTGTGGCGTCCATCTTGTGTGTCTTTGAATGAGTGGGTGAGAGGATGAGGGTGGGACTGTGTGATTGTGTTTGTGTATGCTTGTATTTTTGTCAGGCTGGGACTTGGGCAGCCCCTTCTTCTGGATCATTTGAGGGCCCATTAATCCCCTGCCATGCTGCCCTCTGGTGGGTTGTACCTTTGCCCGCCGGCACACTGGTGGCTCTCGTTGTCTGGGGCTGGGTGCTTGGGCGTGTGCCGGCTCGGCCTGGTAGCTGCCCGGTGGGGCTCTGGCCCTGTCGGGCCTTGGCCTGGGGGTGGAGGCTGGGGGCCCAAGGCCCAGGCCTCTGTGTCCATGCCTGGATCCACTATGGCATGGTGGGTACCAGCGTGAGTTCGTTGCTGCTGGCCCCAGGGGTTGCTGTGTGTGGTCGCTGGTGGGGCTCTTCCGGTTCTCTCCGGTGGTCCTCTTTGGGGGCTGGGTGGGCAGCCCTTCCGGCGCGGGTGTCTCTGGGGCTGCGCGCTTGGGGTCCCTCTCGGGGTCTTTGGCGCTGGTCTCCCTTATGTCGGCTTCTGACTTTGCGGGTCGTGTCTGTGGTCCCCCACAGTCACTTTGAAACATTCCATTGGAGAGATCTTGTATTTACATGCATGCTCACAACCGCACACAAACAGGTGTTTACATCCTGGGTTTTCTATTCGGGCACTGACTGAATGGTATGTGCATATGTGTATGTATAGATATATGTATATGTATATGTATATGTGTATGTTTTTATATATATATATATACACTCACCGGCCACTTTAT